AATACAGCAGTATTTCAGAAAAAAGGCATGCATTTAAAAGTGAAATAGTACCTTTGTAATGAGGTTTAAATAATAATATAATTTATAACGATATTTACAGGTAAATGAACAAATATTATGACAATTAAAGTTCAATTAGGTTCGCTAATTTAGAAAAATTTGCCAACTCGGTACCCCATAATCGAGAATATACACTTTGGGGATGGTGGGAGGTACAAGCGCTGCTGAAAATAGACACGCATGGGGTTGGAAGGGTTAATAAGGACCGAACAAATCAGACAGTTGGCGGATGGCACTGTAACGGTGCAAGTACTATGCAGGCATTCCTTTTCGTGCATTGGCAAAACTTGGCAGTAAGCGGGGGCTGGGGGGGGGGGGGGCGGTAAAACGAGGTTTAAATGTATACAAAGGCTCTGTTTTTTCATTTAGAGAAAAATCATTGAAGGAAAAAAGAATAATAATAAAAATAATAACCAAAAAATAAAAGGTTTCAAAATAATTATTTAAGCTGCTATTTGAACTCTGGCAACAAAGAATACATTATTATTATAGGTATTAAAACTCTGCTTGCTCTCACCACATGAGATGGAATTTCATCTGAATCTAGCCTAAGAGAAAAAGGCAGTACTGAATTTACTGAAGCATGCAACGACAGCTTTATAGTTAATACTACGAACAACTTCTTATTTTTTTTCAACTTGCACGCTATTTTTTTCTTATTTTGCTCATTCTGTTTTTCAAGGACTTTTAAATTCCTAACCTGATTCACTCCATATCATGGGTTCCAATCCAGTGTGCCCCTTTTAACATTTTGGAAATGATTTAAAATTAAATTCACATTTCTTTTTTAAATGGAAAATAGAAAATTTAAAATTTAAGTCACACATGCAAAAAACCCCCAAAACAAACCTGGAGCACAGTATGGTCTAAAAGGGCAACTTTTATGGCAAGAGTGATTTTCTTTTTCGATTCAAGAAATATAAAGACACATTTTCATAAGCACGCAACGTTTCAGTTTTAAGAAAAAAGGCTCCTGTTGGCCCATTAACTTCATATTACTGTAAGTAGCTTCCACTAACTTTCTATTGCTTTAAGCTGCCCCTGTCGTTTTTATGCAAGAACAATTCTCAAATTATGCAAACTGAGCCCAAAAATGTGAAATTATGCGATTCTGTTAATTTTAACAAAGAATGATAAAGGAAAATAATCAGAAATTATGCAAAAAAAGATCAAATTTTGCTAAATTATGCGGGGTGCCTAAAACTACGGGGACTGTTTAAGTAACTTCCATTAACTTTCTATCACTTTAAGTTGCTTCCACTAAAATTCAATTACTTTAAGTACTGGTAGCCTCTTCAGGCACACAAACACACCCTTTCTCAAGAACACTGTTTTTTTCTAAGAGCTGAACCCTCTCTATTTCAACTAACTTGACATACTACCTACATACATCATATAGTGTTTCAACTCTCAAGAGGGCAATATTTGGCTCACTGTGATGTCAAGCACAAAGGATGCTTTTAAGATAAGATAAGATAAAAAAGATAAGGCAAAAATGTTATTGATCTCCATGAAGAGAACTTATTTCATGGCTATGTGATATAGATTTGTTTCCCTGGTGGAAGCTCCTATGTGTCCTTTGACTTCCAAACTAAAAATCTAGCAGGCAGACAGCGATATTGGTTGAACATAGAAGTCTTTTCATTTTGTACAAATTTCGTTATGTACGAATTTCAGGCTGTAGGCTTAAATATTATACAAAAATATACAAGACAAAATTTGGGACCTAAAAACCCGTTCACCCTGCCTGTCAGGGCCAACCCAGGCTGAGTTGGATACACAGTAACCTTGTTGAAAGACAGAGGTATATTTGCTAAAACCTCCCCTGACACGGGAACTAATCTCTTATCTTCTGCGTGCAATGCCAAAAACCCTTAACATTACACTACAGGTACCAGTGACAAAATACTTTAAAAAAATTTTTTTATAGAGGTTTTACGGCCCTTGCAACACAATAAAGTCATATAAGTGCCGAAGATTAGAGGTGTTACAAGAGAGTAACAAACACAAAAAAGAAGGAGGGGAGATAAGGACAATAGATGTTTAATAGGAAAGAAGGAGCAAACAACACCAGAGCACCTGCCAACCACCCACTGACAAAAAGACTGTATCCTCTCCCCCGCATTAAGGCTTTCATGAAGATCACAATAATTGCATCTACGAGATAAAACAAGCAACACCTGCATCTAGCTATTCCTCCAAGATTATGCACACCACTTTTAAACAATGCAGAAGAAAAAAAAAACTTTCAAAGACAAGAAAGCGTTCTTCTTACACAGTACACCTAACATACAAAGTTAATGGTAATGCTGTCTTGTCTTATAACATCTTCCTCTCCCCCTCCAAAAAAAAAAAAGAGAAAAAAAACCCCTGCTTTCTAATACAATCCTTCATCATTCTGTTGTGAAGCTCTATATGACTTCTAATCATTTTTTTAAAAACTGCCACTGTCTTCACATACAGTGCCACCTTACTTTAAAAGACAGGCGCTACACTTTCTAATCTTTTATCAAAAGGATGTGTGCTCTCCCCGCTTCTATTTGTACGTTTATTCAGTGTTTAAGGCCATTGGCCCAGATCACATCATGTAACATTCATTAGTTCAATAAAGTTTCCATAAAAGGAAAAAGTAGTACAGGTTGTGCACGTATCTCTTATCATGGGTCAAACATTGCATATTTCTGTCATTGGGCCGAGTCAGGTTGGGAGGAATTAACAATTTCCTTTGATGAGCAAAATGTGGGCTATCAAAAATAAAGTGAAATTCATATACGGACAGAGTCATCAGAGAGGCAAATTCATGTTGACAACAACAACGCAAATGAACTCCTGTTTCCCGATGATCAGAGCAACTTAATTAAATAGCTTGGATGACAAGTACAAAGAGTACCAGATGAAAATCAGAATTGCCAAAAAAGAAGTAATGAAAATGAGCAGACTCCCTGACCCACTAAAAATCACCATCAACGGTACACAATTCAAACAGGTTGTGGAATCTAAATACCAGGGGAGCATATTTACACATAATGGAAGATCGAACACGGAAATAGAAATGAGGACCCAAACAGCAAAATGCAATAACCTACCAATTGTCACCACTGCTCAATGGAAGTTAAAAAGACAACTTAAAAACAGCATATTCCTGGCAGCAATGACTGAACAATGCCAGAAATGGCAACTAAACATGGCACACAAAAAAGAAGATCATTGCCTGAGAGATGAAATACCTAAGAAAATTCATTAGTGTTACTAAGATTTTAAGAAAGAGACTGCATGCACGAGAAGCGAAACTGTCAGAAATTTTACTGGGATTAAACCAGTTATGGAACACATGGAACATCAAAGAATCGAGTGGTTCAGTCATCTGGTGAGAATGTCACCAAAACAATCAGCTTATAACCCAAAAGAGTCAGATATATAATACAAAGGCAGGGCAGAGCACTCAAAACTTGGCTGGATGGCGTTAAAGAGTTCCCTCAACTGAATAACAACATAACAACAACAGAGGCCACCCACCCACCTAGCCTTTGACCGAAAACTGTTCTACCTCCCCTCCACTTCTAATGATACAAGAGGAAGGATAAAGTAAAAGAGTAAGTAAGTAAGTAGATAGGTAGGCAGGTAGTTAGGTAGGTAGGTAGGTAGGTAGTAGGTAGGTAGGTAGGTAGGTAAGTAGGTAGGTAGGTAGGTAGGTAGGTAGGTAGGTACGTAGGTAGGTAAGTAGGTAGGTAGGTAGGTAGATAGGTAGGTAGGTAGGTAGGTAGGTAGGTAGGTAGGTAGGTAGGTAGGTAAGTAAGTAAGCAAGTAAGTAATACCAAGTAAGTAAGTAAGTAAGTAAGTAAGTAAGTAAGTAATTAAGTAAGTAAAGTAAGTAAGTAAGTAAGTAAGTAAGTAAGTAAGTAAGTAAGTATTCAAGAAAAGCCCATCAACTTCAAACGTAAAAAGTCAGACGTAATGCTTTTTAATTTTACATTCCCGCCCGCCCCCCACCCACTCCCCAAGTTTTCTAATGTTTAAAGTTATGCATTGCGCTTTCACTTCAACCTTTTGTAAAAACAAGACAGCACCTTGTAACATAGAGATACCCTGCTGGTACAAAACATCTGGTCTACATAAGAACCAAAAAGGAAGAATTTGATAAAAATAGCAAAAAAGGGCAGAAAAAATGCCAACTTCTTCAATTTCGTTATTTTGACGTGTGCCTGATCTCATCTCGATTCCTCACATATTGTTCTTTATCTCAACAGACGGAGATACAGTCAAACCTGCTATAGTCTAATGGCGACCTGTCCGAAACAATCACCAGTACAAAATGACAATTTCCCATTTAGTTAGTTGTAGTAGAGGTTTTACGGCGCTCGCAACTGCATAAGGTTATACGAGCACGAGAAGATTAGAGGTGTTACAAGAGAGTAACAAACATAAAAAAGAAGGAGGGGAGATAAGGACGGTAGATGTTTGACAGGAAAGAAGGAGCAAACCCCACCAGAGCACCCACCAACCACCTTCTATCGTTCTTTATCTCAACAGACGGGAGATGCATTCAAACATGCTCTAGTCTAATGAACACCTGTCCAATTCAAAACAATCACCAGTACAAATAACAACTTCCCATTTGGTTGCTTTTAAGGACAAGCGAGCTAACCCAGATTTCGGGGGTTTCCAGAAATCTTGACCTACACCAAAAGTGAGAATTGCCCTACCTATAGGAGAAGTTTGATTTCATTGGTGTGTATATTTGTTTCGTTATAGAGAAAACTCTCCTTGTTTTTTAAAGAAACAGAACAAGGGTCCAAAAACTTTACCTTCGATTTTCTCAAAACAGCATTTCTCGGGATAGCCCCCTTGTGCTTAAAAACGACCATTTGTCCCTAGCATTTAAAAAAAATCTTCCTCTAAGACAACCACTTTTCTCCTCGTCATTAGACGGTCGTCTTCCACTATTTCTCCAACTGCGTCTCTACAGCGTAGTCGCTCAGCAGCAGAAGCAACATTTCTTCTGCGGCTCGGGTGTGAGTTTCTGGAACCGGGCGAAACCGAGGAACACCTGAGGACAACAACAGACAGAGAAATTCATTCGTACACAAGTAGCCTATCTAATAGGTAAAGTATAAAGGATTCCACTCAAACCAAACATGGATAGTCCAAAAAAAAAAGCTAGTGGTAAACCAAACGAAAAAAC